AATTCATCACGAAACTTTCCAATCCCTAACCTGGCATTCAGTGGTATAATATTTTTGTGTCGGAATTGGATGGGATTCAAAAAAAATAAATTCTTTCCAAAATAAGGAATTCCATGATATTGAAACTATTTCAATCCCTTTTTTGGACAGAATGGAATTCGGAAAGTCCTTAATTGAATTCCTGGCAATCCCGTTTTAATTCTTTTCAATCTTTTTTCGTTTGCTGGGAAAATAGCTGCTATATTTTCCAAACTTTTTTTTGTTAATAACTTTTTAACGAATAACGAGCGACGGCTAAAACCTTTTAAAGGTCACTCGGAGTCATGACCTTGACAAGATATATCAAGATCATTGAAATCGATGAGGTCGCCCTTAATCTAGACATTTACCAATGACCGATTGAATCCGATTGGTTCTGCATTAAAGTGTTAACTGAATTGTACTAATGATTCGCGAAATCTCAACTCGGGTTTGCATCGAAACTTTGTCGCGGATGATTTGTCGGTGGCTCGTAGGAGTTCTCGATTCGGAGATTAATAATCACACGAGGGGTCGGTTTTCCATTTTCGTCTTTAATTAAATCACGCTGAATACACTTATTGGAAATACACTCGTTTCGGGCCTCTGCCCTACAAGTTTGCGCTCGCTCGTTAAACAAAGTTTTAGTCATAATCGTAAGGCCGTAAGGAAATAGACCAATCACAGCCGATTATTCTCCTTGAGCTCGAAGAATAATCGAGTGTGATTGGTCTATTTTCTTACGGCTTTACGATTATGACTAAAACTTTGTTACGTACAATGGCCTTTACTAACGCTCACGCTCTAGCGCCATCTCGGCTCACTCCCTCGCTCGCTCATTGGCTGTCGCCATTACTCCCTATAACGCTCCGTCTCATCGTCTCATTCGCTCGCTTACAATCGCTATCGTTATCACTTGGTGAAATTTAATCGGAATGAATGCGTTTTCAATCCGGTTAATCGGATGCCCGATTGGAAGTGAATTGGTTTTAATAACAAATCAATCGGAATCGTTTTTAATTCGTCATCATTTTTGGATTAATTTGAATCTACCGCTATCGGTTTCAATAGTATTAATGCCAATCCATTTTAATCGAGTAAATAAAGTGACCGCATGAATCGTATTGAATTCGCATCAATCGTGAAATTTTAATACAATACCGGAATCGGATTTATTTCCGGATTTATCTAAATCCGATTCAATCGGTTTCAATCGTATTAATGCCAATCCATTTTAATCGAGTAAATAAAGTGACCGCATAAATCGTATTAAATCCGCATCAATCGTGAAATTTTAATACAATACTGGAATCAGATTTAATGCGATATTTCCAAATTTATCTGAATCCGACTCAATTGGTTTCAATCGTATTAATGCTAATCCATTTTAATCGAGTAAATAAAGTGACCGCATGAATCGTATTGAACCCGCACCAATCGTGAAATTTTAATACAATACCGGAATCGGATTTAATGCGATATTTCCGGGTTCATTTGAATCCGACTCAATCGGTTTCAATCGTATCTGCGCTTAATCCATTTCAATCGAATAATAAAAGTAGCTATGTGAATCAGATTAAATCCGCTTTAATAATTAAAATTGTATATAGCACATAATTTTTACATAATAAAGTTCTTACTACAAGATTTCCTTTTGGTAAAGTCATGAGTTCTATATTTGCGAAACTGTAAAAAAATCCTAAAATATTGTGTAAATCAAGAGACACGGTAGTGTCTCGCGCCAAGTACACACGAAGCAAGACCGCACCGTCACTCTTTTACGCGAACGCACGAGTTGTAAGTATTCGAGATTTTGAGATCTCAATAACGAGTGAACGGATCAAGTTTTAAGTAGACTTGATCGATAGCTTGGGTTTAAATTATATAATAAGAGTGTTTTTATTTTTCCGCTACGTGCCCTACGAGCGGAGATATTACGATGCAAAGTCCAAAATGTCAAATTTTACAATTAAGGGGGGAGGGTCAAATAAGAATGAACGCACTATCTGCACTGAGTGCAGAACGTACACGTACGTACAAATTGTCACGCACTGCGACAGTCACTGACCGACGTATAGTTGGCAAACAAATTAAAAATTATTGAAAATTATCTTATCCAATCGTTTGGAAATCATTTGGAGATATTTGGAAAAAATTTTTCAGAGTTTGGAAAACCATACAATAATCACAATTAATTAAAATCAATTAAGCGTATAATTTGCAGAAAGTGTCTAAAAAATGTTTTTTTTTAATCCAATCGCTCCAGAATCATTTGGATAAAGTGTCGATATAATTTTTATTATTTAGAAAACAACTATTCTAATAAAAATTAATTAAAGGTCAATATTTAGTTTTAATGTCTGCACTATAGTGCAATAAAGTGCGCATACTTTTCTATGTATGTTTTATTGGTAGACAGGCTGTGTGTCGATATTGACTGTAAGTACTGAAAATCTACAATGTTACATACGTCATCACTTTTTCAGTACTTTATAGTCTACTAGACTACGTCGGCTTGGAGTCGGTTATTACTCCAGTGTTACTCCAATCCATTTTAGAGTAAAATTAATTAGCACGAAGATCCAGCTATGACTGATGACGGCTTTACTTATTTAATTTGTTGTTTTTATATATCTGGGACTTTTATTATATAAATTTGGTCCAAGCTATCGATTAAGCATAGTTAGAACTTGATCCGTTCACTAGTTATCGAGATCTCAAAATTTCGGGTACTTGCAACTCGTCGCGTCGCGTAAATGAGTCACCGTCGGTACTTGGCGCGAGACACTACCGTGTCTCTTGATATACAATATCCCGGCGCGGTGGGTTCGGTGGGAGGAAGGCCGATCTTCAGGCGAGCGGTGGTAGGAGCAGTACGAGTACGCGCGCTCGCCTTCGGCGGGGATCGGCTCCCGTCGGCGTTCGTCGGGGAGACACCGGTGCCACGCTGTTGCTCGCGCACACGGTGTTTTGGAATAAATTAAAAATAATGACGCACTGCGCCCTGTTTCCGCCCGACGGATCGGTCGGGCGGCATCCGGAGGGTGTTTTCCGGAGTACGATGCTTCGGTAAAAGGGATGCATCGTTACACTAGAATGGAAGACCGGGTTGACAGCCAGCATTCCGAGAAAAAATAATTTTGACTAATCATATATAATTGTATATGATTATGTATAGAATCATAAATGAATATACATGGGTATATTTATGATCATGTATATTTACATCTTGCTCCTTGTATGATTATATATGGATCCATATATGATTAGATCTGACCATTGACCTATGCTGATATGACTAATATATTCTAATTTGTATGAGTAGGTACAGATTCATATATGATTAGACCTAATCAAGCCTGACTCATACCAGACTGTATATGAATTCATATATGACTATATTTAAATCTATGTATGATTCTATTTAATCATGACTGGCTAATATGAACTCGCACCTAACTATATGTAAATTTATATATAACTAGATATATATCTATATATAATTGTGCGTATTTAGATCTGACCATTTTTATGCTGATATGACTAATATATTCTAATTTGTATGAGTAGGTACAGATTCATATATGATTAGACCTTATCAAGCCTGACTCATACCTGACTGTATATATGAATTCATGTATGACTATATGATATATATATCAAAACCTTCGTATGTAAGCAAATGACGTTCAATATTATTGAATTCTATATTTGTTATGTATTTACCTAAGAGCTCATAGCTTTATTTTGATCTCATATTCCATTGTACATTACATTATTAGCATTACGTTCCCGTTCAATGGCACGGACTTTTAAAAATTAGTACTCCTTGAGCAATAACTAGATTATTGACAATTTCTTGACTCAAGTGTTTATTACCATGCACACATTTTGCAATAAATCCGATATAA